ATTTACCAGCCTGGTAGGCATACTGGTGAACATTTAGGAGGTGTTTTGTAAGTACAGGGTGGGCAAAATTGGGCGTTGTCACAGTCTATCTCAATAACTAGAGGAGTTATCGAAAAACCGATATACATGTCCCGGGTTCGATTTTGGAGAAACCTCGAATGGTACAATCAAAATTTCGATATCTTCATTCGTTTTAGAGATACAGGGAGAAATTGAAAATTTGCCGATTTCGATTTTATTTTCTGACTACTTTACGGTGAGAGGTATCAAAAAATTTCAAACGTATATTTATACAGTATGATGCGTGGAATCCATTGGCATCATCAGAAATTTTATACAGGGTGACGTTGAGAAAATACGGCAGCCAATTATGTTTTTTCTAATGGAACACCCCGTATATTTTGGCACAGTTGAATAGTCCCAGGCGTTCTCATTACAAATATATATATAACCCTACCTTTTTCTTCCACAATTTCAGATATATTCGCAAAAATATATTTAGTGTGTCACATTTCTTATGGTTACACCCCCGTATCTTCTGTAAGAATAATTGATGGAAACATTAACAATCATAATATTTTGTGGCAGAATGCCTGAATATGATACTCCACCCATTATTTCTAGTATGCCTCAATATTTTTGCGTTCAAAGAGATAATAAATAAGATATATATTTGAAATTGAAACGTGAACTTTCCAGCTCTGTCAAAATATACGCGGTGTTCCATAAAAAAATTGTTCTGTATCTGGAATTTGGACATCTTCTATAAGGCTATATTTTTCAACGCAACCTACTGATTTCCTAATTGAGTAAATTATTGGTCTTATTTCTGTATCTCAAATGTCTTGATAACAATGATATCAAATCGAATAATTTCCCATTTTATTTCTCACCAAATATCCATTTATCTGGAAATTACATTCCCTATGATATTTATTTTCCACATTTGGTGAATATATACAGAGTGTCATTTTCAACCTCGATTCTGCCTGTTGATAGCATTATCCAGAAATATCGATGATTCCATAGCTGCTGGCGAGCAGTGTTATCATTGGAGATGATCCCACTTGGTCCATGACTCCATGAGTGTATCATTTGTATCTTTCTGACAGTTGCGAATTTTTGAATCCTACCTCAATTATTTTTACAGATTATACGGGGGTGTAACCATAAGAAATGTGACACACTGAATATATTTTTGCGAATATATCTGAAATTGTGGAAGGAAAAGGTAGGATTATATATATATTTGTAATGAGACCGCCTGGGACTATTCACCTGTGCCAAAATATACGGGGTGTTCCATTAGAAAAAACATAATTGGCTGCCGTATCTTTTCAACGTCACCCTGTATAAAATTTCTGATGATGCCAATGGATTCCACGCATCATACTGTATAAATATACGTTCGGAATTTTCTGATACCTCTCACCGTAAAGTAGTCAGAAAATAAAATCGAAATCGGCAAATTTTCAATTTTCCCCTGTATCTCGAAAACGAATGAAGATATCGAAATTTTGATTGTGCCATTCGAGGTTTCTCCAAAATTAAACCCGGAACATGTATATCGGTTTTTCGATAACTCCTCTAGTTATTGAGATAGACGGTGGAAACGCCCAATTTTGCCCACCCTGTACACCACTCCTCAAGTGTCCGTCCAGTATTTTATTCATGCTCTTCAACTGGAAGGATGTCAGTGGTGGTAAGTTGCTGGTGAATTTCAAACGATAACATCTATATGTTCCTGAAATATCGTTCATCAAGTTTCGCCCCGATTTCAAATAATGCCCAGTATTTTTGTTACGAATATGCAAATATGCAAACTATATTTTTCCATATATATATCAACTCACCTTGACTTCCTATATCCGCCATTAGGCTATGGCTGGTTAGTCATGAGTCATGAGTCACCCTGTATATGAGATAACATCCACATCCAACTAGGAGATTATACAGGGTGTCCGGAGATAAAACCGACAAGACTTGTGGGGTTATAGGGACTGTCAATATGATTGCAAAATGCCATTAACCCGAGCATTAACCAATGTCCAAAACCGCTTCGTTATTGACATACAGAGTGATTTGTGGATTTTGACAAAAAACCCAATACGCCATATCAAATACAGGGATCAACCGGTTAGATTCAAATTTGGTACACGAATTACACTGAAAAGCATCAACAAGTAGCCCTTTGATCGAAATCAATATCAGGACCGGAATGATATTTTTCCCCTATGTTGAGTTATTGTGAGAATAACTCACCCTGTATAATGATAACAAAAAATTTCAACTCAGATTCGAGTCAGGGTTAAGTGGAAGAGCATTTTCGTAGTGAAGCTACTGTTTCTCTACAGAAAATGAACTTCGCCCTTTATTTTCAAAAATATGTTTATTTTTATTCACAAAATGTATGAGTACTACTTGAAAATAATGAAGACCTTTATTATTATTATTATTATTATTTTCTACGGTGAAAATTGTATAGGAATTTGTTGGAAAATCTTCTGGCACTATCTTAGTTCCGTGATTAATTATTATTTTAATTTTTTTCATTCAAAATTCAATTATTATCGGATAAAGTACTATCAAAATTGGTAATATAATAAATATTAACGAAACCATGACATGAATATCGTTATTTCCTTCAATCAGTCCGTGAATCGTAGTAAAATAAAATACTCTCATTACCCAAAAAAATTGAAAAATAAATTCGTATCAGGACTGGAATGCGGTTTTCTATGATTATATTCCTGTAAGAATAGATGATCTAGTATAAAAATGATCTGATCGTAATTTCGAAATGCACTGAGAAAAGTTAAAACTTGTTGAAAAATGATCGGATTGAACTTCCAAATAATAAATCCGTATCAGTACCTTATAATATTTGTGTATAAAGAATACTAGGCTTGTGTCAAATTCAGAATTTCATTATGGAAAACCATTGTTCAGCTGTCATCAGCGTTTGTTTTATTGGTGTTCATTCATTATTCCAGTATTTTTAGGATCAAATTATAGTTCTGAGAGTGTGCTTATGATGCCGTTTCATTTCACTTACGAGGAATACGCTGATATTCTATTTGTGTTTGGGCTTTAACTGGTGATGTTTACCTAAATTTCCTGGTCAATACTTGACCGGATCTATTGCAAGGTGTAAATACCTGAGGTATATGGTTTCAGCATGATGGTGCTAGACCTCACTTTGCAGTTCCAGTTAGAAACCATCTCGATGCCAATTACCCCAATAGATGGAGTGGCCGTGGAGGTTCAGTAAATTGGCCACCGCTATCCCGCTGATCTAACTCAGCTAGATTATTTTTTATGAGGTCATTCAAAGTAAGAAGTTCATAATGAAGGAATTTTTTATGAGAAATTACTGCTGCATGTGTTAGTGTTAGAAATAACCCTCAAATAATTCGCAAGTCAGTGAATCATCTAATAGCACGCTCTCAAAAATGTATTGATGTTGGAGGGCTCCACTTCGAAAATGTTTTGTAATACTGGTTAGTGAAAGTTTTTCACGAATCCGTTGCTTTTGTTATGTTCATTACAAACAGTTATTGTTCGTTGTGTAGTATTCTCATAAATTCAAATTCATTAGTGAGCCAATATAATTTACGAAAACTTCACTGTCATCCTTCATCAACAGGTTCTTATACGATTTTTTCAGATTCCGAATCTACGATCAGATTATTGATAACTATTGATGTACTAGGTCAGCTAACATGACCAAACAAAACACTCATTCCAGTCCTGATACGAATTTATTCTTTAGTTTTTTCGGGTTATGAGAATATTTCATTTTACTCCGATTCATGAACTGATCGAAGAAAATAACATTCATGTCATGGTTTCGTAAATATACGTACTTTATCCGACAATGATTGATTTTTCAATGAAAAAAATCAAAATGATAATTAATTACGGAATAACTAAGATGGTGCCAGGAGATTTTTCAACAAATTCGTATACAATTTTCACCGTAAATTGCGAATCTGAGATGAAATTTTTGGTTATTATGATACAGGGTGAGTTATCCTAACAATAACGCAACATAGGGGAAAAATATTATTCCGGTCCTGATATTGGTTTCGATCAAAGGGCTACTTGTTGATGCTTTTCAGTGTAATTTGTGTACCAAATTTGAATCCAATCGGATAATCCTTGTATTTTATATGGCGGATTGAATTTTTTGTCAAAATTCACAAATCACTCTGTATCTCAGTAACGAAGCCGTTTTGGACATTCGTTTATGGCATTTTGCAATCATATTGACAGTCCCTATAACCCCATGAGTTTTTTCGGTTTTATCTCCGGACACCCTATAATGAATTAGATTAGGGTGATCACATAAACACAATTTGTACTAAATCATTACCAATGATAGGAGAGTTATATAAACTCGAAAATGTTATAAACCAACAAATAAAATATAACATTCATCAAACATACTTTGTCAGTGTATTCAGGTATCTAGTATAAACCTGTTCGCAAACTCAATACAAAAAAATGCAAATCTTGCAGAACAAAGTTTTGAAGATGCTGTTCCATATAATCAGAAGAACACCCGGTGAGATCGTATACAGCAATGCGAATTTGATAGAGGTGGAGAGTATTTTCGAAACTGAACAAGTTAGATAATATAGGTAGGTACGCATACAAAATCCGAAATTCATTACAAAAATCCAATGGAAAAATTCTGCAGAGACGTTGCACATTTGAAACAATTTTAATGATTGAACTCCGTCTGATTGTGCTATCCGCATGTAAATTTGAACAGATGTGACGTCAGAATTGCTACAGTATATAACTTTGAATGGAAAAAGGGGTCTTACCAAAAATTTTATTCTGATCCCTATTTTTTTCATTTAAACGTTATGCATTTTCAGGGTTTGAAATATTTGCACTTATTTCAATGCCACCCTGTATAGTTCAGACTATAGTTTCAAGAAGAAATATTGTGGATCATTGGAATGAGTTGATAATATTGAAGAGTTACTCACCAGAATATATCTATTTCTTCTTATGTACCCATGGCCACAAGATGCTCCATTCAAATCACAGGGACTCCAAACTGTCCATTGACTCACCTTGCAATCAAGAACTCTACCATCAGACAATTGTTCTAGGATTACTAGATTTTCTCCAAAAGGTTCTGAAACACACACAACATTTGAAAATACTTTGTAAGTTGAATCAAAAGTTATTTCGAATTCATATATTGGATATCTTCGGGGTTATTGACTTACCTTCATTGCATGGCATACTACACTTGACAGTTTCTTGACCTGGACAATTTTCTTCTGCGTCATTCTCGTTATCTTCATCATTCTGATCTTCTTTAGGCAAACTCACTCTTGTTTTATAACCGGTTCCACATGACACATTACAGGGGCCCCATGGACCCCATTTTCGATCTGTGCACTGTGGTTCATCCTAAAAAACATAGGTATCTAAAATCGATATAATTTTTCTCTTCTTTAAAGTTTTTCTAATTTAGATGAGTTGGATTTCAAAGGCGAATTATCAATTTGAAAACTATTTCTCGTAGAATCAAAACGTTGGGAGAACGCCAATGGGCAGAAATAATATGGAGTCATATTTCAGTAAAGGAGTGAGTCACTCCTCAGGCCCAATATACCCCAACTCTGGAATGTCAAGTGGTATATTATCCCTTTTGAAATACGTCTCATTCAGTAATATTCACCTAGACAAGAATTTTTGGATAAAAAGAATTCAATCCCACTCTTTGCGCAAAATAATATGATTTTAGTGATGCTATATTTTTCATTCTGGGTGCTTTTATTTCTATATACAGGTCATGTCGATCATATCATTTTCGTTGAAGGAATACGTATATATTTATACAGTGTGTCTCACTTCTAATGGAAACACCCTTGTATCTTACGAAATCGTTGGGTAAGGATCCTGAAATTTGCTGGAGCGAGAGATATACCTACAAAAAAATTTCACTTTATGTCCAAGTGTGGTTATCTCCAGTGATATAAACTGCTTGCCAACAGTCATGGAACCACTCAAATTTTCAGAAAATCATTGAGGAGGCAAAATAGGTTGAAAATCACTTCGGATCAGAAAACAGGACGCGAATCCACTAACTATTTATATATTTCTCCTGAAAAATTTCAGTTCTGACAAATTCATTTTTGTCTTAACTAATCATGGAAACACCTCCGTATCTTACGTAATTACCCAAATAGCACACAACGTACTAGGGACGTCCCTATTCGGTACAATTCACGTCAGAATGTCTCGAACCAAAAATAAGTGTCCTTGGGACGTCCCATCCCGTACATCTCATGCAATGTCCGAGCAAGAACGTCCACGGAATGTCCCAGCTGGTACATCATTTCAAATGTTCTAGAAATAGCATCCCTCAGACGTCCCACGTGGTACATATTGTAGAATATGTCCATGCAAGGACGTCCTTGGCATGTCCCTGATGGGATATGATTTTAAACGTTCCTTGAGGGACATCCATCGGATGTCCCGAGTAGTACATATTCTGGCATGACTTCAGATCTTATATAATGTCTCTTCTAGACAACCATGAAATGTCCCTGATGGTACATTCCTTTTAATATCTCTGCACAGACGCCTTTAATATTTCCAGGATCGTATAACAATCGAAATGTCCCTTCGGGTCATCCTTCGAATGTCCCTTAGGGATATCCGTCGGATGTCCCAATTGGTACATGAACTGTACTCTTCCAATGTCCTAGAAATAACGCGCTATGGGCGTCCCAGTCGGCACTTTCAATATGTTGTCTCTGCGAGGACGTTAACTTACACCTTGCCGACGAATGATTGCTCGTAGGCTATAAGTACTCCTCGTCAATGTCCTTCACGTAAGTCCATTGGACATCCTTGGGAAACTTTCTGGGGACCTTCTACGGACCATCAACTCAATTTGATGTCTTTATCAGTTATGCAAGATCTGGTCCTAGAGGGACCCAGAAAAATTCTAATTCAAGAATAATTCGTACGTCCCTGGGACGTCCTATGGACATCCAATTCGTATCCCTCAGCGTTGCTGATAGGCTGTCCTATGGATGTCCCAAGGATGTCCTCTGTAGTGCTTGATGAGGAATACTGTCGGATTAAGGTATTCGATAGTTGTCCCAGGGACATCCCTCGAGGACGACCCTAGTTGGTCCTCAAGTGAGACATTTGTGCGTCCCACAGACGTCCACGGTACCAAATTCGAACGTCCTATGGACGTCCTGAATGTCCCGACAGGACGTCCCAAGGATATCCATGGGACATAAGTGTGTAATCAGGGTATATCAAGTTAAGATTTTGAAAGTTTCAGGAGCAAGTAAAATACCGAAGATACAGTCAATGGCCAATTGAAATTACCTTCAGTGATATACACTGCTCGCTAGTAGCCATGGAACCCCCCACATGTCCTGTAAATCAAATTGGCAGACAAGATATGTTCGAAATTACAAAATAACTTCCGATTCGAGAACAAAAATCAGAACGTCTAATCCACTACTCATATTCTTCCTGATAAATTTTCAGAATTAATGAATTTTGTCTGGATTTTCATAAAAGCACTCCATTATCTTGAGTTATCATTGTTGTGGAAGTATAAAATTTTTAGGAGCAGGATATCATCTTCAATGATCCCAGGTAACAAGAAACTCTCCGCGATATCTCTGAGTAGTTATATTCAGGATCAAAATGCGAAATCCTCCTGCGAGTTGCCAAAGATCACTATAGGCTGTCACGATGGAAAATACTCTCTGGAGTCGTCCGACAGAAATCGCGGAGATCTCGCCTCAGATCTGAAATATTCCTCATAACTGCGAATCCTTGAGGTTATCTATAACAGGAAATAAATAAGCATTTGTTTCTGCAGGCACCTAAGGATATGCTGGACGTGACAAGAACGAGCATTCCCCATTACGAGCTCTTCAAGTAATCACAAACATAATAATGATAATAACAATTACTGAATATTACTACAAAAATATTGAGTTGTTTTATAATTCGCCTTTAAAATCATCAGTCAAAATAGAAATTCATTTGACCTTCAAATACCGGGTGTCTAAATTTATCGTATACAGGCAATATCTCGCATATTTGTCAAGATATTGAAAACATTGAAAGACATTAGATAACCTTCCTAATGGCTTATGAAGAATGTGCTATATTCGACAGACCCCTGATAGTAGATACTAATCAATTTTCAATGAAATGGTATATTGTCTTTGGAAACTGCCTGTCAATCTATTTGGAATACAACGATAAAGCCATAAACATTTTGAGACTTCTTCAAGTTACTTGAATAAAAAATTGCATCCACCCATGTGTCCAAAAATTTCAAAGAGAAGTATGGTGAATCTTTAGTTCAAAAGATTATAGAATAAGATAGATATTCTATTTTGAAGTGTAAAACATCAATCATTACAGACGGTATCTACTTAGGGTAATAATTAATCTACTCTTAATGTGTGAAATGTTTACAACCATGGAAGGAGGCAATTGTTGATCGATGTAACAGTAATAAGGTCAGAGAATGTTTTTGTTATTATATATGAACAAATCACAAAGTACCTAGGTGCTTTCGTCCCTTTCCAAAATATACAGAAAGTCCATTCAATAAAAATTGAGGAGTAGCTACATATGGAAAGCACTTTGATGTCATTCGGAGCAATTTTCACTATTTTTTGACCATCTTGTCAGATGAGCGAGTTTTTGCCTGTATCTATAGGATAACTTGGGACACCCAGTATTAACATGGAATAGGAAAACAAAATTGCGATATTTCATCACATTAGGTCACCATGAATATCAATGTCTAATTTATAATAATAATTGTATACTAGATACTTCATGTTCTTACTGTCTCAGAGAATTTGTTCAAAATATCATATTATTATCTTTCCGCTATCATAGAAGATTATTTCAAATTTTGCAGTAAATTGATGATGATCATCTGCTCTGACAAAATAGACAAAAATGTTCAAATTCAGGTGGTATCATGAATCAAATATCTACTACAAATTCGTCGCTGAAAATCGGACGACCTTTGTATTAAACTTCTCAAAGATATTTTCAAATGAAAATGTTCACTCGATCAATGTCTTGCTATAAAATGCATTGAGTAGTTACACTGAACTTGGATTGATAAGAGAAATAAAGGCGAATAATTGAAATTATCGTACGATATAGCCCCGGTTGACGATATACTATATAGCCTTTGGCAGTTTGTCATACACTATATATAACAAAGTACATCTATATTTTTTCAATTGAAACTCAATACGTTAATCCAAAATATTGATAATTTTATCTTTGGCGCTGAAACAAATATCGAGTTCACCCTAAACAATACAGCTGGCGAATGTTAGAATCAAATTCAGCACCATACCATGTCAGTGGCGATCGTGTGGCGAGGATATCGCTCTTGGGGCCTCGTTATAAGGCGATGTACACGGATGCTTGAACAACAATAGTTGAGAGCACTTGAAGAGTTCGCCATCAGTAATTGAAGCAAATTTCTTGAAGTCCTTGTCACAAGACTATGTCTGCGAATATTTCAAAGAGCTCGTTGTCGCGAGCACTTAAAGACCTCGCCAGTTGTAATTGAATGAAATCTCCCAATATCCTTGGCACAAGTAAATGGCAAAAATCTAAAATAGCTCGTGGTCGCGAGCACTTGAAGACCTCGCTTGTGGCAATTGATGCGAATATCCCAAAGTGCTCGCCTGAGGGCATTGTATTAGAATTTCTGCGTGGAATATCTTCAAGACCTCGCTGAGCTCAGCCTAGGTGGCGGACATTTGAAGAAGATATAGCGCTCTCGGCGATCTCTCAAAGGAGTTACAAAAGGCATCACAATATCCTAGAAGGATATCTTCAAGATATCTTCAGGACCTCTGTGTGTTGTCTGGGATACACTTCTGGAATTGATAATCATCAAGTAAGTTCTGATCAGGGTAAATGTAATTACAATCTGAACTAGTGAAACGAATAGATTATCAGGAGTTATTTTATAGATCAAAAATCATGACGGGTTTAATTCAAATGAATTATGAATGAATGACTTCGTTAATAGTATAGAGAAAATTGTTACCGATAATAATGCGTCAGATCGCAGTGGAGTCAGTGAATACAGTTTAATAATAAGTCAGGCACCTATTTTTGGAAGCCAATCAATTGGATTATAATGCAATTATTGATTATGAAGATGGGCCCACTTGGTCATAGTGTACATTTTTGGTATATCTCTCCCTTCAGAAAAGGACCCCGCACTTTTAGTACGTAAAATGGTTCTCGGTGAAATTTTCTGAATTTTCAGTATGTTGTAGAATTCGATGAACTGATTGAACCTGCAGAATCGTAAAGTTCTTCTATGAACAGATTCTGTGATACAGGGCGTTGAAGTTACAAATCGTTATTTTTCATTT